CATTCTGTCCTTACTCTCTATTACCAGAGATAATTGAGAGTTGACTGGACTTAAATGCATAATGAATATACACCAGTGCATCTTTTAATATATAAATGAAAATGTTAGATTTCTTTCAAGGAAGTAAAACTTTATTATATCTGGATTTTCTTAAAATATAAGCACACCATGGTTGCAAAGTGTGTCTAAAACAAGCCAAACACCTAATAGGTATTATAAATAAAATCAAGTGTGCGTGTGTGTGTGTGTGTGTGTGTGTGTGTGTGTGTAGGGGAGAAGAGGGAGGGAGAATGAGAGAGGAAAAGAGAGGAGGACTGAGAGGAAAAGGGAAGGAAGGGAGAGAGAATTAATGAACATTGAGTTATTCTGGAAACATCAGAAGATGATTCACTCTTACTACTTTTAACCGTTTTGATGGGGCTTTATCCATATGAAGTTTCCAAACTTCTTAACCAGAATATTCTGATTTATACCCACAATCGAACCTTTTTCTAATGACACAGGATCATCATTATAAATATTGTACAATGGCTTTCTTGAAAGATACTGAAGAATGTCCAGATATTTCCCCTTTATATTAACTGATGCCAGACAACCCCTCTTTTTTGAGGACCTCCGTCTACTGTTAATATCATTTCTGGTCAGCATTATTCTTTTCAATGCCTGTAGGTAGACTTTCTGATTTTCTGTGTCTAAACCATTACACATTTCAAACCCATATAATCAAGTTTGTTAGAAGTACACACAAAGTGAAAGTGGTTGCTGAGAGAATTTTAGACGTTTGTATAAGTGAAATGCATAGAATTTAGCCTGAGTGCTTGTGCGCACCTATTTAGACCCCCCAAAATAATTCCTCCTCCTCCTTCTCCTCCTCCATCCTCTTTTTTTCTTGATCACAGTCCAAATTGCTATACAGTTGATTTCCACATAGGAAGGTTTAATTTGGGATAGGATCAGGGAAGGGAAAAGTCTAATGAATGGACACTGAAGATTGTTTATATAATGTATGCATATATAAAATGTTTTCCTTGAAATCTATTTCTGTATATGTGTGTACACATATACAGTATATAATTGATGTGTAAATAATATAAATTGTCTATGATGTAAAATTTATATGAGCGTGTGTTTAGTAGATTCAGAGCTAGATGGGCACTTAGTGAGCTAAATCCTCATTTTGCCATGAAATATATGCAACATATACACATAAAATTATGCTTAATGTGTCTATAGGTACCCTTTTTACTTTTATATAGGTACTGCACGAACAGAATCCACAAGCCCCCCAATTCTCCCCATCGTTGCCAGTTTCTTCTATATTTATATTCTCATCATTTAAGAAACTATCATTGGGTACTTGTTATTTTAAATCCTGTCCTGGGTGCTGGAAATGGAAAAATTATAAGACTTGGGGGCCTCTGCCCTTGAGAAGCTGACAAACTACAGGTAGAAGGTTAAATATACGAAGTAATTATAGTTCATTCATTCATTCAACAATCCTTCTTTGGATGTCCTTTATGTACCAGGCTCAGTGTGACAAGTATAATAGTTGGGATATTAGCTAAGTGCCATAGGGGTACCTTGATCCTGGACTCAATGAGAAGTCGGCTTCACCAAGCCTGGGAATGAGAAAAAGAGAATTCTAGGCTAAGAACACATTTGATAAAGTTTGATAACTCAATTGAATTAAAGCAGATATCCAGTTCAATGTTTCCCATGTAAAACTTTTCAGGCTGACAAGGCAATTTTTCATTTTTCTCTTACTCACTCCTTGCTCCACACCTCTCCTTGGCTGTAGCTTGGTTTCCTTCTCTCCGTATACTTCTCAGGTCCATGCTATCATTTGGATTGAAACATATTGATCTAGTCCAACACTCATATTTTATCAATGAAGAGACGGAGGCCCAGAAAAATAAAAGATTTGCCCCAAGTTACTACTTAGTTGGTCGTTTTTTAATTAATAAACTTTACTTTTTAGAGCAATTTTAGATTGACACCAAAATTAAACAGAAAGTACAGAGAGTTCCCAGTACCTTGTGTCTCCAAGCAGGTACAAGCTCCCCCACTATCAGCATACTTCACCAGAGTGATATATTTGCTACAACCACTGAGCCTACCTTGACACATAATTATCACCCAAAGTCCATAGTTTATGTTAAGGCTTATTCTTGGTGGTGTATAGTCTATGGGTTTTGACAAACGTATAATGACATGTATCCACCATTGTGGTATTGCACAGTATAGTTTCACTGCCGTAAAAACTTTCTGTGCTTGGCCTATCGTCTTTCCCTCCCCGCAACACATGGCAACCACTAATCTTTTTATTGTCTCCAAAGTTTTGCCTTTTCCAGAAATTTCTATCATTGGAATCATACAGTATGTACCCTTTTCAGATTGGCTTCTTCACTTAGTAATATATACGTGTGTTTCCTCTACGTCTTTTCATGGGTTGATAGCTCGTTTCTTGATGAGATAGTTCATTTTTTGATAGTGCTGATTAATATTCCATTGTCTAGATGTACCACTGTTTATTTATTCACTTCCTACTGAAGGACATCTTGGTTGTTTCCAAGTTTTGGCAGTTATAAATAAAGCTGCTATAAATGTTTGCATGCAGGTTTTTGTGTGACATGACTTTTCAGCTCTTGGATAAATAGCAAGGAGTGTGATTTGCTGGATCACATGGTACAAACATGTCTAGTTTTGCAAGAAATCTCCAAACTGTCTTCCAAAGTGGCCGTTTTGCATTCCCACCAGCAATGAATGAGAGTTCTTGCTCCACATCCTTGCCAGCACTTGCTGTTGTCAGTGTTCTAGATTTTGACATTCTAACAGGTGTGTATCTCACTGTTTTAATCTGTCATTATGTGAGGACTTATGATATGGAGCATCTTTTAATATGCTTATTTGCTATCTGTATATCTTCTTTGGTGAGGCATTTGTTCAGGTTTTTGCCCGTTTTCACCCTGGTTGTTCATTTTCCTTTTTCTTTTTGCCTAAGAAAGATTCACCCTGAACTAATATCTGTTGCCAATCTTCCCCTTTTCTTGCCCCTTTTTTTACCCCAGTTGTTCTTTTTTTTCTCCCCAAAGCCCCAGTGTATGGTTGTATATCCTAGTTGTAAGTCCTTCTAGTTCTTCTCTGTGAGCTGCTGCCACAGCATGGCTACTGACAGATGGGTGGTGTGGTTCTGCAACTGGGGAACAAACCAGGGCTGCCGAAGGGGTGAGAGCACCGAACTTTAACCACTAGGTCATCAGGGCTGGCTCTTCATTTTCTTATTGTTGAGTTTCTAGAGTTCTTTCTATGTTTTAGATAACAGTCTTTTATCAAATTTGTGTTTTGCAAATATTTTCTCCAAGTCTGTGTCTTGAGTTCTCATTCTCTTGACATTGTCTTTCACAGAGCAGAAGGTTTTAATTTTAATGAAGCCCAGCTTATCAATTATTTCTTTCATGGATCACCTTCTGGAAGAGAGTGTAGAGAGTTGGTATAACTTCTTCATAAGAGTTTGATAGAATTCACCAGTGAACCCATCTGGGCCTGTTTTCGAAGTATTGACACCTTTATCATTATGTAATGCCCCTCTTTAGTCCTGATAAGTTTCCTTGCTCTGAAATCTGCTCTGTCTAAAGTTAAAATATCTATTCCTGTTTTCTTTTAATTAGTGTTAGCATGGTATATCTTTCACCACCCATTGACTTCTAAGCTATATGTGTCTTTATATTTAAAGTGGGTTTCTTGTAGACAACACGTAGTTAGGTCTTGTTTTTTGATTTATTGTGACAATCTCTGTCTTTTAATTGGTGTATTTAGACCATTAATTGATAGTTAAGGTGATTATTGATATAGTTGGAATAATATCTAACATGTTTGTTACTGTTTTCTATTTGTTGTCCTTGTTCTTTGTTCCTATTTTTGTCTTCCATATTTTTTCTGCCATTTGTGGTTTTAATTGAGCATTCTATATGACCTCATATTCTCTCTTTTCTTAGCATATCACTTATATGTCTCTTTCTATTTATTTATTTATTTATTTTGGTGAGGAAGACTACATCTGTACCAATCTTCCTCTACTTTGTATGTGGGATATTGCCAAAGCATGGTTTGACGAATGGTGCTAGGTCCATACCTGGGATCTGAACCTATAAACTCTGGGCTGCTGAAGCAGAGCACATGAACTTAACCACTATGCCACTGGCCTGGCCCCTCATTTTACTTCTTTTAGTAGTTTCCCTAGAGTTTGCAATAAACATTTCCAACTAATCCAAGTATACTTTCAAATAACAGAATAGCACTTCACTGGTAGTACAGGTACTTTATAATAACAAAATATTCCAAATTCCTCTCCTGTCCTGTCCCTTATATCATTGTTGTTATTCATTTCACTTATACATAAAGATATGTATATATATAATAAATAAAAATATAAATAATGTTATATATAATAATATATAAATATATGTGTATTATATATAAGACATGCATTCACAATTGAATACATTGTTGCTAATATTACTTTGTTTTTGTTTTGTTTTGTTGAGAAAGATCAGCCCTGAGCTAACATCTGCTGCCAACCTTCCTCTTTTTGCTGAGGAAGACTGGCCCTGAGCTAACATCCATGTCCATCTCCCTCTACTTTATATGTGGGACGCCTACCACAGCATGGCTTGCCAAGGGGTGCCATGTCCACACCCAGGATCTGAACCGGTGAACCCCGGGCAGCCGAAGCAAAATATGTGCACTTAACCACTGTGCCACCAGGCCAGCCCCGCTATTATTACTTTTAACAAACTGTTCTGTTAAATCAATTAAGAATAGGAAATGTAAAATGTTTCATTTACCCTTCACTTATTCCTCTTTCAGTGTTCTCCCTTTCTTTATATAGATCTGAGTTTCTGACCTATATCATTTTCCTTCTCCCTGAAAAATTTCTTTTAACATTTCCAAATGGCAGATCTACTGGCAACAAATTCCTTCAATTTTTCTTGGCCTGAAAAAGTTTTTATTTCTCTTCCAATTTTGAAGGACAATTTCACAGGGTACAAAATTCTAGGTTGGTGGTTTTTTCTCTCAATACGTTAACTTTGGTTGCATGGTTTCTGAGGAAAAGTTGGATGTGATTCTTGTTTTTGCTCCACTAGAAGTAAGGTGTTTTTTCCTCTGGCTTCTTTCAATATTTTTTCTTTATCTTTGATTTTCTGAAGTTTGAATATGATATGCCCAGGTATGGTTCTCTGGAAAGTTATGTTTTCCGTGTTTCCTGGATCTGAGATTTGGTGTCTGATATTAATTTCAGGAAATTCTCAGTCACTATTGCTTCAAATACTGCTTCTGTTCCTTTCTGTCTTTCTTTTCCTTCTGGTATTCCAAATTACACATACATTACACTTTTTGTAGACATTCCACAGTCCTTGGATATTTTGTTCTCTTTTTTTCAGTCTCTTTTCCCTTTGATTTTCAGTTTTAGAAGTTCCTATTGTCATATCCTCGAGCTCAGAGATTCTTTCCTCACTCATGTCCCATCTACTCATGAGCCCATCAGCGACATTCTTCATTTCTGTTCTAGCATTTTTAACCTGTACCATTTCCTTTTGATTCTTAGAATTTCCATCTCTCTGTTACACTATCAATCTGTTCCTGCATGTTGTCTATTTTTTCCATTAAAGCTCTTAGTGTATTAATCAGAGGTGTTCTTTTAAATCCCTGGTCTGATAATTCCAACGTTCCTGCCATTCTGACTCTGGTTCTGATGCTTGCCAATATCTTCATCTTTGCCTTTTCACATGCTTTGCAACTTTTGGTTGAAAGGCAGACATAATGTACTGGGAATATAGGCCTTTAGTAATATAACCGTAAGGTGTTGGGGGAAGGGGAAGCATTTTATAATCTTATTATTAGATCTCAGTGTTTTGCTGCATCTGTGACCCTGGACTGTCAACTCCACCAATGCTTCTCAGTCCCACCACCACACCCCCGACTCCCCACCTTAGATGGGACAGGATGGCAAGAGGGGGCTGGGCTTGTGTATTTCCCTTCCCCCACATGGAAGGCTGGAGGGGAATAGAGCTGTGTGTTTCCCTTCCGCCAGGTCAGTTAGGCTCTGATACAACCCCAACAGGTTAGACTCTAGTAAAACGGTTTCTCCTGAGGGCAGGCTTTATTAAAAAGAACAGAATTCTCTAGTATATTTCCAAATGGTTCTTTTTGTCCTCCGTCTGATAGAAGCAAAAAGGGATTTCTCTCCAACATTCCCTGCGAAGAAACAGTAGAGCTCCTGCAGGTAAAACTCACAAAAGTGTGTCCCCCTCCCATGATTGGGCCCCTGGAGTTTTTCACTCTCAGACTTGTCCACACTGATCCTCCAGCAAGTCATCAATTACAGTTCAGGTTTTCCCACCCCAGCCTGGTTCCCTCAGAGCTTTCTGTTGGTGTTTCTGCTCTGGTAAGTTTTGATTCTCTGTAATTGCCTGTCTCTCTCTCCAAATTTGGGGGCAGTCGATTGCCCTATGACCTCACTTCTCTGACAGATCTAAGAAAAGTTGATTTTTCAATTTGCTTAACTGTTTACTTATTGTTAGGATGCAATGAAGACATCTAAGCTCCTTTCATGCCAGGCTGAAAACCGTAGGTCACCACTTCATTTTTAGATAAATGTAATCTACAGTTTGTGAGTTCAGTCAGTTTTTACCTTACTACACAAATGCACACACACACAAACACACACCCCTCTCCCTTCTTTGTCTTTGCCCCATCCCTTGAAGGGAGGTTCAGGCACTGAATAAGAAGACGAGGAGGTGAGCAGGAGAGGCTGTAGAAGGTCTATCTACCTGAGGAGACTGGGATTCGATGTAAGGAGTTAAGGCTGTGAGTCTATCAGACAAGTTCTTCAATCTTAACTCAGACACTGGCAAACAGTAGTAGGATTTTCTGTCTAGAAAAATTAAGAATCAGCAAGTTATTTTTGTGTATTACACTCTCACTTCCCTTCCCAAACTCTCCTACTTTGTTGCCCCCTATTTATTACCATCCCCTTTAGCTCCTACAATAATGATTGATTGATTCAAAGAATATGTATTATATACCTACTTTGTGCCAGCCTCCATTCTGGATGTTTGGGATACATTAGCAAACATAACAAAGATCTCTATCCTCATAAACCTTACATTCTTGTGGGGGTGACCTAAAAAAAGAAATAAATAAAAAAATGTGTGTATATACATACATATAACAAATAGGCAAATTATCTAGAATGTTATAAAGTAGTGATAGCTGTGAAAAGTATATGTACACAAGAGCAGGGTCTGTGAAATCAAGAGTGCCAGTGGTTGGGGGAAGAGTCATTTGCAACTTTAAATAGGGCAGTCTAATTAAACCTCATTGAGAAAAAGAACTTTGAATAAAGACTTCAAGGAAGTGATACAAAGAAGTGAGGGAGTCAGTCATAAGGGTTCTGAGCAAGTGAAATGCCTAGTGCCAAGCATGCCTGGTGTGGTTAAGGACCAGCAAGGAAATTAGTGTGCCTAGAGTGAAATGAAAAAGAAGGAGAGTTCTAGAAGTTAAGGTCAAAGTGGTAACAGGCCCTCAGAAGTCATTATATGGATTATGGCTTTTGAGCTGAGTGACAGGTAGAAGCATGGCAGGATTTTGAGCAAAGGCATGACACTGTCTGACTTATATTTTAGAAGGTTCTCTCTGGTTGCTGGGTTGAGAATAGACAGTAAAGGGGCAAGTGTAGATACAGGGAGAAGAGTTAGGAGGCTATTGCAAAAATTTGGCAAAAGATGATTGTAGCTGAGTATAATAATGATGGAAGTGGAGAATAGTTCCAATTCTGAATGTATTTTTAAAGTAGAGCTAAAAAGTATTTCCTGATAGGTTAGAGGAGAGGAGTGAGAAAAAGAGAAGAGTCCAATATGACCACCAAGGATTTTGGCTAGACTAACTGAAAGCGTTGGAGCAGCCATTGACTGCGATGGGAAAGACTGCAGAAGGAGTGGATTTTAGAGTTCAAGAGTTGTGTTTTGCACATATTTATTTGAAATTACCTATTTAGGCAACCAAATAGAAATGTTACATAGATAACTGCATATATGAATCTGAATTTAAGGAGAGAGAGAGATCTGAACAGGAAATATCAAAATGGGAGATGTCAGCATATAAATGGTACTAAAGCTTTGAGAGTGAAGAGTTCACCAAGGGAATGAGTCTAGAAAGATAAAGAAAAAGGAACAAGGACTGAGCCCTGGGATATTCCCAAATTAAAAGATTGGGAATATGAGTCAGTGAAGGAGCCTGAAAGGAATAGCTAGTGAAATACAAAAATCAGGAGACTCTGGTGTCCTGAAATTCACGTGAAGGAAAGTGTACCAAGAAGAGTGAAGCGATAAACTGTATAAACGCTGCTGATGGATTCAAGTCAAATGAAGACTGAGAATTGACCTTGGGATTTAGTAACGTGGAGATCTTTGGCCACCTTGACTGGAGTGGTTTCTGTGGAATGGCAGGGATGAAAGTTTGATTGGATTTAAGGAAGATGGGCAGACGTAGAGCATTTGGAGACATCTAGCATGGGCAACCTTTAAGGACTTTTCCTACAGAGGGAGCAAAACTAAATTAATTAATTAAATTTAAAAGAGGTCGCAGCTGGCAGGGAAATCAAGATAAGGCTGTTTTTTTAAGATGGAAGAAATAACTACATGTTTTAGATAATGGCTAAAAATAGATAATACAATAATATGGATGAGAGGTTAAATTGCCGATCGCAAAATACGGTAACATATTTTGGGGGAGCTGAAAGACTATGTCCAGAATACATATTTAAATTAACAAGTAACAAAGTAGTGTCTAGTCTGCAAATTCACCCTTTTTCTTTGCATTCCCTTCAAAATTCTGACTCAGTTAAGAATCATATCACTTAAGTACTGATCTCTTATCTAACTAAAATAATTAGCATTAAAGCGTGTGTTAGGCTTAACATCTCATCTAAAGTCAATTATATTTTTTAAAGATTTGCAATAAAATGAATCTCTAATTGGAAGATATTTTTGGGTGACATATTTTGGCCACTTGAGACATTACTCGTTCCATATTTAGTTTTTCAGAGCGTAAAATAAGTTGAATTATCCAGAATCAAAATGCCCAAACTCAACCCTACATCCAGGAGAAGGACAAAAAACTTTAAAATGGAAATACCGTTCACAATTCTCCACCATACCCATGGGTAAACCCATCCCCACCATAAGCAACATAGAGCAGATTCTTTCCAGCATCCAACACCGCAAAAGCAGAGTCTGTTGTAACACTCAGGAGTCATACTGGAAATAGAAGTTGGTGCTTTAAGATGAAGAGTGTACTAAGTTGGGAGCAGGTTTGGGGGCAGGAAGGGGATTCAGGAGGCTTCTTACTGAGGTATTTTTCAGGGAAACAAACATCTTCAATCCAAAAGTATGTCTGTCCTCATACAAAGTTACCTTCTTGCTTTGCCCATGAAAACCCATTAGATTCCAAACCTCATTTACCTGAGCCAGCACGTTACGCACATAGATAAAATGGTGGCCCTTTTCTTCCTCTTGTCTGAAGTCACATTGTTTTAACGTCCATTGACTAAATTAACCGTACCTGCCAACAGTGCTGAAACTCGAAACAAAACTTTGCCTGGCTGACCATCTATGACCTGTGGGCCCCGTAGGGTCTGATCAAAAACTCTACCTATGGACTTGGCTCCCCTGAGTGCCAGCAAACCCAAGAACTACCCACTCCCACCCCATTCTCAGCATGGACACTTTGAAAGAGAGATTTCCTGGACAGAGTAGAGATCACACAGCATATTACATTTCAGAGCCCCAAATCCCCAACCCATCTTTGCCAAGGGTGGCTTTCTTGACCACGGTGTAGCATGCATACCTTTAAACGCGTGTGTAGTGTTGAACACATATTAATGTGATCAATCCAAGTGAATTTATTCGTAGGATACGATATACTCCAATGATGCATAAAGTTGTATGAATAATCAGAGACTTTTCATGTAAATGATTAAATAACAATGATTTAAAAACTACCTATTCACCTGAACTGCCTTTCTGTTTCCTAAGAATGTGTGCATAAAGGGTTAATATGGTATATAAGGTAGACGTTTAATGGGTAAATCTAAAAGCAACTAAGAACATAGCATCCTGTATATAACTTTCATAATTGTGCGTTCCTCCCGACATAATGGATATCATTATCAGCGGCGCCTGTCCTAGGAAACTTGGCAAGGTTATGATTGTTTGTTACAGCTTTGGTTATATTAACATACACATTAATATTTATAAATATTTGATGTCATGTTAATTTTTCATATAAGATGATTTATGTTATGTTGCTGTGCCCTGTTAGAGGGCATTTGCAATATGCTTCAAAAGGGAGCTGAACTGATGCATGTTCTTGAAGGAAACTTGCCTGTATATCACTGTTCTCACAATGCATTATTCTGAACAAAAGTGTTTCGAAATAAATTATGCGAATTGTGGATTTACTCCATTAACATTTTAAATAAAACATAAAGGAAAAGATCATGCTGAAACCATTCACTGCCTTTTTAAATGGAGCTCTGTTCTCTTGAAGCAGGACAAAGTTTACTGAAATACTCGGTTTCAAAAATGAAGTCATCAAGTAAGCAATGCATTTGAAATTTTGTTTTAAATATTGTATAGTCTATATAGCATGCAAACTAGGATATTCAGAAAAGGATAGTAACTTGGGGTGGAAAAACTGCTATGTTCTTGTTTTTCTTTGTCCATTTTCTTTTGCTAAAGTATATTTTACTGTGACCACATTTGAATATTAAGGAAATTGAATACAAATTAGGCAGGATACATAGAATAAATAAATCAACTATAAGTTATTAAATGAATATTTGCTTTAGGTGAAAAAAATAATTTGTTTTTAGAAAGTTTAAGTAGCTTTAATCAGAAAGTTAGTTTATATATTATGGTGACTTGAAACCAATAATGTATAATATGAAGAATTATTGGTTTGTTTAGTATTATAGTAATGTTTTATAATATAGTCCATCAGTCTACATTCCCAAATGATATTATTAAGAATGCTTTACTTATTTTTTCATAAAATCTGTAGAAAACTCTCAAAAGCCGTATTTTATGTGGTAATTCATTTTCCTATTATAATGGATGTTACCTGTTTATTCCTTTTTTTTATGTAGGCATTTTTTAGTATTGTCTGTAGTTATGCTACTAGCAGAGGAGTTATTAATAAAATTTGAGTTTTGGTGTACTTTTTTCTTTTTCAACGATTTTAAATAGCCCTTTAATTGTTCCTTTTTCCCTATTGAGATTCAAGTTTTCTTTAGAAGAATAACTCAATATTAACTTATTTTTCTCTTTCTGTGTATCCAAAATGAGTTATGACCCTGTGGTATAACTATAAGAATCTATCTAGTAAATTTGAGAATATTGGAAATCTTTATTTAAAGTATACATATATATATGTATGTGTATATATATATGCTTTGAATTGAATATTTTATTCTTCTAATTTGTCATCAAATAAAATTGTTACTTTTGAATTCATCCCTTGCACTATATCAAACCCTTGAAAAACTCAACTCAAGAAATTAGCTTTTATTTGACATTAGAAAATTCGGTTTGCTCTTACTATCCAGTTTCACAAAATTAACAGTTAATTTGAGTTAAATGTAATGACTTTTTTCCCTCATATTTTCATACTCAAATTAAGTCTGTCATCACAATTATTCACATTACTAAAAAGTTGCAAGAGGTCATGAGGGAGGAAAACGCCTTAATTTAAGTTTACCCAGAAAGATCGGTGGCAACAAAGCATGCAGAAAAACTGAGAATAAGGGTTACATTCCCAGGTGACAGACGGCTAGCATTCCACAGAGTATATAACTCTCAATTCATTTTGAATTCACGTAATAAATACCATGTGAACAAAATTTTGCCAAAGTAAATAGTCAAAAAAAGCAGCAAGCAGTGGATAAACTGTGTTAAGCATAAATAATTTGAGCTAGGACCTAAGTCTATTCGGCTTAGATTATTTCTGTTACACATGTGGAAATCTACTTATATTCCATAATGGGTAATACAAAGAAGAGGAAAATACGGAAGTAAGTATTTTAGGAGTATCACAAATCTGTGTTGTCAAATAGTAATCAGAATTCACACTTCAGAATTCTTACTTCCTGAATGAGGAATCGAAAATTCAAAAACTGTAATATAGTAGATGATCAAAAAGTTACAAAATGGAGTAACTGAAATTACCAAATAGGTCAACAGAACCACCTTGTTTGAAAGAGTGCAATATATCACCACTCAGAAACATCCCAGAAATTAGAAGCTCTTGGTAGAAAAGGAGAGATAACTGAAAAAAGGTAATCAAAGAGTGGATCCAACACAAAGGTTAGTAACATACTTCATATTGTCAGATAAGCCTTTAGACAACTGAGCTAGATAAAGAAATTAGACTGAAAGTTTTCTACGTTGCGCTAATTCTTTTATAGGTATAAATATGTATTAGGAAAATAGCAAATTAAGAAAAAGAAGGTGGATTCTTAACTGTATTTTTTGAGAGAAAACTGCATACTTTATTTAAAATCATGTTTTACAAAAATAATGACAGGAAAAACTTTGATACAATTTTCAGTGAAAATCAGTTCAAAAAAATGGTCTAGTGATTGATATGTGTGTTTACGTGTGTGTACACATATATGTGTATGTATATATATATATGAATAAGCCAGATATATATTTGTTCATATATAGTCGTATACATATATATATTCATTCACTATCTTTCTTTTTTTTAGTGAGGTCACATTGGTTTATAACATTATGTAAATTTCAGGTATATACCACTATATTTTGACTTCTGTATAGACTGCATCATGTTCACCACCAAAAGTGTGGCATTTCTAAAGCGTCTTCCTTAAGATTATATGCCCCCAAGGGACTGTGTTAGCTTAGTTTATTTTAAAACAAAGGCAAACTATACTACGAGATATGCATATATGTAAATATAGACACATATGCATCTATCTATCTATCTATCTGTACACACAAATAGATACACACACATGGATATACATGTATATGTGTGGTTATCTCCAAATATAAAAATCTATATTGAGTAAGCTACTATTGTTCCTATTGTAAAGTTTCTAATCTACTCATAATATTGCAAAGAAATAAAACCATTATCAGAATAGTTCACTGCTCCACATTAGATGGTATTATTTTTCTAAATTTAGACAAAACAGACTTTTTTCTTAAATGCACTTCAGAGAGAGAGAGTGGACTGAGAAATCATAATTACAAACATAACGTACAATTCAGTTGAAATCTAGAATTTTATATTTGGGGACAATTTAGGTATCAAAATTAAAGAAATGATGGCACTTCCAGATAAGGGTTTAAGTGCATTAAAATACTAAACTGCAAATCAGTTTTTCTAGATAAATGTGAAAAAATTCCATTAGTGGGATTCTTACCAAAATTTTATATCAAAAAAGATAATCCATAGCAGATCAACATTAGTAAGATTAAATGGATCCAACTCACACACATACAAATCACATTTCTTTTTATAGCTGATTAATACTCAGTCACACAGTGTTACCAGTCACTAAAATGTTGTACTATGCGTTTGAGTAATAGTGTCATAAATTAAGGCCTTGTAGGCCATTTTTTGAGAAGTCTCCTTCCTTAGTCCAAGACATTAAATTCAGTCAGCTTACACATTTTCATCACTAATTAAAAGAAGTAGTTGTTGAATGAGCACGAATGGCTCAACATAATATATCACCACAAGAAGACAGAACCAGTTTATCCATCCTGTACAGTTTTTCTTTTTTTTGCATCTTTAGATCTGTGCAGATGGCATTAAATAAATGTTTAAAATTAAGACAACGCTGAAAGATTGTAGCATCGCTTCACACAAATTATCACATTAAGCCTATCACTAAAATATTTTATACTTATTTTGGTTATTACTACCTGAGTTGAACTGGAAGAACAGTAATTGGTTAAATAAATGAAAGATAATAAACTCTGTATCATCCTTTAAAATTTAAAAATGCTGTCTCATTTGATTGTCACAACATCTCATGAAAATAAGCAGATAAAGAGAGGACTCTCTGTTGCTTCTTATGTGACGCATTTAACCCAAGATGAAAAGAAATTGTTCTTTGACAAACAGTTCAGTTTGTTGATGATGATAGTGATCCTTGGTGTATCAAGTGAATTTCTCTCCCTGATCGTCTTTATAAACTAATCTGATCCTTTCAATAGCTCTCTTTAATATGAACTAGGTTGACATACATATAAAATCTAAGGTGGTGGGGGTTGGGGGAGTGAAGAGCAGACAGAAGAATTGTTTTCTACAATTTAACCCTGGACATATGGCATGTCCATACACGTAAAATTAATGTGCCCAGCACAATCAATCATATAATAGTTTATCGGTCATTACAGATCATGACAAAATATGTTTATCTGTACTGATACGCATCCGTTATGAAGATAACCAAAATTAATAAAGTGAGATCAGGCCTTAGTTCACGTCTCTTCTGATTTATGAATATGAATCTGTTCTTTGACTAAGTCTTTTCTAAAAAACTCTCCCATCGTAATACATCGTCTCCACAAAGAAGCAAAAATAATAGGTTTATTTTCTATTCCAGTTTCGGTTACTTATATTAAATTCTGCCTCTAGGAAGAGTTATGGGTAATAATTTTAGGGTTAATCTGTCACTGCATGATTAAATATAAAAGGAAACCAAAAGTCACAAGAATGGAAAGTCACAGAATGCACAAGGGGTCAATAAGGATCTGTATTTTTCCTCCCACTGTGATCTACTGCTATTCAGAACAATTGATTACACAAGTTCATTATTGTTTTGCAACCACACGTAGACCATTATTATCCACATTGGCTCCCTGAGGTGTTCTCATGGACAGCTTTTCAATGATTTGTAATTTCAAATAGCAGCAAGTTTACAATTCACTCTGCTTAACTTTCCTAGTCCTTTAGAAAGCATTACCAACTTCTAAAAGGTAAAGGCCATTGGAGCAGCTACAGCCTTCCTGGAAATTTTTCATCAGAGTCACAAATGTTTATCATCCCAAAACTATATCCAGTTCTTAAAACAGTGAGTTAACTCTGTTCTGCATAGACTAGTCATTGAAGAGAGAACCATCATCCTGCAGCTGGAATCTTCTGCAAGTTTAGCCTTCAACCATCCTTTTAAAATATGTGCTGATGGTTGCAGTAATTTCATTTAGAGAAATAGATAAAGGAATTTTAAAATATGTTATCTTCGGGACAATTTGATTGTGAATCTATACAACCCAGAAAATACAGAAAGATGAATAATCTTGCTGTAGGACGGGACCTAAAGTCTTGTCAAGTGCAATTTTTTTTACGTCGTAAAATAACTAAATTTTCTCAAAAACAGACTCAAGCAACAAAAAAGTTTCTCTGTGGAATGCTCATTAGCTGTGTGTTATTGTTTTTTAAGAGGCGTTTCTCTTTCATTAAGCTCAACTTTGTACATTTGTGCGTGCGTGTTTTCTATACGCGTATAAAATGTAAACTAATTTATGATCCAAACTGGTTCTATTCCTCCTGTTTCTGATAAGGAGGAATTATGTGTCATTGTGAAGTGTTTGGGCTCTGGAATCAGAGTTACTAATCCTGGCTCTTCCACTTACATTGGACAAATTGCTTACTTTTCAACTTACTCATTTTTAAAATGGGGGAAATAATAGTAACTATTTTTGAAGTTCTTATGAGGATTATACCAGATAAAGCGTGTTATGTGCTGAGCACATCGTCTGCAGGAAAGAACATATGCAGGTGAGGTCAGTCAGGGGGAGGTGGGGTAGCGGAGTGAGCACTAAGCATACTAGTGGTAATTGTAACAGTGAAGACAATAGAGAAAGACTTATTTGAATGTTCTCCCGACTATTCATAATAAGGACTTGAAATTCGTAATGTAAGGGAAAACAGGCTCACATCCTTACTTATAATAATAGTACTTTGTTAAAAGTCACATCTTTCAGAGACAAGTAATTGTAAAAGAAGGAAGTGATGATGGCAGGGTAGAGGTAATGCTTTATGTTAAAAAATTTAAGTGCTTTCTGCATGAACAATACTTCTGAAAACCATCCTAGAAATAGCATGAGATGCTGATCTGTGAATGCGTGGCTTCCCAATAAAGCTCTTGATTTTTTGGATATATTTATTCTCGATTTCTGTTAAAAGCTATACATGTTGAGTCAGTTCCTACTCCATTTCACACAAAGAATTCTTTGATTTCTGATAATAAGCAGAAATAATACATATTTAAAGGTTCATTCAAAACCTAGGCAATTTTAGAATCATACAAATACTATTGAACAATATAGTCAGCAAAAATTTGTACCCAGTAATCCAACTATTAAGATACATAGAAAATGCTATCTCAATTCACAACTTATCAATTTTACTACTCTTAGAAAGAATGATTCAAAATCTAATTTTGAAGTGTCACTGAATTTTCAGCTGAAATTTCTTCAGATAATCTCACCCTCTTCATCTTGTGAATTTTATTTCCTTCCTTAAATGGGAATGTGTCACTTTTGAAAATGATTCAATTGGATTTATTTGCAACAACTTCTCTTTAATAGGCTAATGATAAAAACGGAAAAATCTATTTGCCGTATGCAAAATATTTAGCAATACTTCTCAAACTTCCCTGTACATAGGAATGCTCTGGAAGCCTTGTTAAAAATGCTGATGTATTGGTTCCATGCTTGGACGTTCTGACTCCATAGAGCTGAGGTAGGGCCCAGGAATGTGCATGTTATTAAGCACCCCCAGTGGTTCTGATACAAGTGGTCCAAACATCACAATTAGGGAAACATTGGTCTGATTTTGTCAGCCTGTGTATTATCAAGATTATCTTCAAATTTTAATATAGAACTTCTTAATTATCAAAATCTTCTTCAAAATATAATAAAGATTGACTTCTAGCAAGTTTGAAAATAAGTATTAATTGTACCATGGTCTGATTCAAATCTAGTTTCTAAGTGGCACTGTAAACTCTTGAGGCAAGATTCCAGCACTCACTCCTCAGTGTAAATGGAGACTGAAGATGAATGCAGACTGTATTAAACCAGGAGCATTAAACCAGGACTCTAACCTCAGTCTCACCTGCACTGTCTTCCTTCCAGCATCCTAGGAGTTTATCCTCAGTTTAAGCTTGGTCTCCCTTCTCTCTCCCCACACTCAGATTCTCTCTCTGCCAATTTCCTCCCTCTTTATAAACTCTTAGCTCATAATCTTCTCATGGCCTACTTTTTTTTTCCTCCTAGATATCTTATCCAAGGATGAAAGAGGGGAAGGTACATCCTGGTCTTTCATAGATTTTGTGGATTAAAAGTGCTGGATTTGGAGATGAGGGCTAGGAAAGAAGTGTTAGGTAAACGGAAAGAGAAATCTGGATGCTTCCCCTGCCCAGCCCAGACTCTTCTTTCTCCCAGTCTGCCAGAGAAATGCCTGGCTCCTTACATTTTTCCCTAAACTGAGCAAACCCCAGAGCTATATCTTCATCAGAGAGAATAAAAATCAGATCACATGGCGTGTCAGAACTTGCTTTATTCCAATCTGAGTCCTTTAGGCATTTCGTGG